CACTGGGATTGTAGGCATATGCCAGTACGCCTGGTGCTGGGGCCGGCACAGTGTGCCCACGGTGTGCTGGGGCCGGCATGGGGTACCAGGGACCAAGCTTGGGACCTGTGCTTGCCAGGCAGGGGCTTCTGCTGCCAAGCTGTCTCCCCAGCCAATATAGGACTCATATTGTTGATGAAAAAGTAATGCAAGACATGGAGACAAATGTATGGTACATGAAGCTTTTTGGCTAAATTCTGACTAAAATATCTACTTACATTAAGCATTGTAGGAAGGTTTTGATAGTGAAATTTTAATTTATATTTTATCTCATTTTTCTGTAATATTATAAAGATTATCATTATTGCATCAGATTTAAGACATAAGATAAGGGAGAAATGAATTGGCGTAAAGTAGTAACTTCGTTCCTTTTTGATAGTATGCATTTTCATTATTACAAGCAGTTTTGTAATAGGAACTCTTTATGTGATATATAAGAGGGTTTTCAGTACTATCTTCTGCCTTAAATATGAATAAGTGATTTATATGGACCTTCTGGGAAGAAGAGCTTAGTAGAAGGGACACAGGCCTGCGAGACCTTGCTTTAAATGTCTGAAGCACTTAGAAGGTGATTATTGACTTAGCGCTAGTCAGTATATGTCAATGAACGTATTTTAAGTGAATTTAAGCATAGAGTCAGTAGGTTTGATGTACTGAATTAATTTCACTGTCTTGTGGAATAACATCCACAATAGATTTAACTATGTACATTTATACTTAAAGTAAATTTTAACTTGCTTTTCCCCATTAATTTATTTATTGGACTGTTTTCTATCAGTAAACAAAGCAGTAGAGAGATGTCATGATGCACTGGCTGGCAGAAACACTGAAAGGATACCCAAGACTTGAGGGCAGACTCATTTATGTAGGTGGGCGCTGATCAGGGTCATTCTCGGAATATCAGGCTCTGAGCTCTGGCAGTCTAGAGCTTATATGGAATAAACAAGGAGGGATTACCGAAGCAGAATGGTTTGTCAATTCGGGATTGAGCCATCTCCCTGGTCCCCAATTGGGGATTGGCTTATGTAATGTACATTATAGTGGCCAACTATTTCTAAGAGACAAGAAGCAATCAGAACTGCAAGAGGAACTGTTACCTGGGCAGCTAAGAAACTGAAGTATACTAACTGGGGGGCCATTTTCTGTTACAATAAGGTGGCAGTGCCACCTAGTACAGACCACATGGGACCCACTGTAGCTCTCCCTTAGAACTAGGCCATCTCTGTCCTCAAAGGAGCCACTAATGTGAGGTAGGCATTTCCCCAGAACTTTTTCAGTCCTTGTCGGGATTACAGGCATGTGCCACCACACCTGGTTTAGATCTGACCCTAAGCAAACATCCTGTCTTCAACATCCTGCTCTGTGACTATTGCCACATCTGTAACATAGGAGCTGGCCATGACTGTACTCCTGCAGGTCAGTGCCTGCCACAGCTTGAGATATGCAGAGCTGTGCATCAGTACAGCCCCTCTCTCTTCAGGATCCTACCCTCAGAGCCAGCCATCCTGGCGTGCCTCACCAGCTCGTGAGTCCTTCAGGCTCTCAGTACCACTCTCGGCACTCTGCCCAGGAAATGTGGTTCCACGCCAGTGAAAGAAAGTGTAGGAATCCCCTCTTCTATTTCCCTCCTCAGTGATCACAGTCGTACGCTTCTGGTTGGGTTTGTCCAGGTACCTAGGATGAGCCCGGTGCCAGGTACTCCTTTATGGCTGGAGAGTGACTTCAGTTTTCATGTTTTATGCTGAACTGCTGTGTGGAAGACTTGCATGCTGTGCGGAATAGTCCATTTTGACGGGGTATCCTTACCCTGTCCTCATCTCAGGAAGAAATGTTTATTTTTTTACTTGTGTTATGCTTGCTTAGTTTTTAGTTCTTCTGAGTTTGAGTTTGTTTATGTAAAATAAGAAAATTCCTATTTTGCTAGCAAAAAAATGTGTTTCTCTAAAATTATTAATTAAATAAGTACTTTTTATGATTTTGTTTTTCTTTAGAGAGACATTGTGATTCTTTTTTCGTTTGTTTTGTTTAGGATTGAACCCAGGGCCTTGAATATGCTAATAACCATGAAGTATATAAATGAGCTTTTTTTTTTTTAATTTGAGAAGGAGGTTTTTTTTTTTTGAGGGGGTGCTATTTCACGCTGCCTCAAGGGCAGGTCTGTTACAGCATCTGGAGCTGGGGATTGAACCGTAGTCCTGTGCTCCTGCCTGCATTTACCCAAGCTTTAAACAACTGAGCTGTCTGGCAAAGCTCTTGGCTCATTCACTTTTAAATTCATTTTTTATCCTTTGTTTTATACCTGTCTGTTGCATCCTGAATAATTATTTTTGCAGTTGCTACTTCTCTCTTTAGCTTGGTCTAGTGTACCTGTTGCATTTCTCATTTTACTTTATTTTTCAAATCTGTGCACTCTGTGTGATTCATAGTCATATTAGTAGGGCCACTTAATTTCCATTATTGTGAAGTTCTTGATTTGTTTTTTGTTTTGTAGTCACTGGAAACCCTAATATATAACATTTTTGTGGATACTTTATTGTTCATCATGTTGGTTATTCATTGTACATTATAATACACTTGCTTATTTTTTTATTATAGTTTTCATGATCTTTGAAAATTATTTGCAGGGGTACTTTGAGATCTAAAGTGAAGATGTCTTCCTTTGAACAAATTGGATTTAACTTTGCTAGTACCCTCTGGGCACAGAGGCCCCTAAATGGCTCTAGATACTCTAGCGATTCCAGACCTCCTTCATGGCTTGCAGTTCCCAGAACGAGAGAACTCCTACAAATAGTGTTTGTGCAAGGCTGACCCTGGCTACAAGCCCCAGGGATGTGTTGTTTGTGGGGCTTTTTCTCTTTTCCTTTTCCCCACTTCATTTTATGACATGGTTACTGGTTGATTGCTCAGGTCTGGAAGCTGAGCAATCCTCCAGAACACATGGGAGGCTTGGTGAAAAGGTAGAAAAGACCGTATTTGGAATTTAGTCTGAGGAGATGGAAGGGTTTTGTATTGCTTTGAATCACCATTTCCCTATGCAAGGGCCCTTCTAGCAGGGATGAGAGCAGAGGAGAAACACCAAGGCAGCGGGCAACTCCATGCTTGTCCCTTCCTGTGGACCCTTGAGGAGAGGGTAGGAATTAGGGTTTTATTTCTGTTCATCCTTACCCTGAAAATGTAAGCTTTTGGGATCTCAGTTCACTGTGGAGAGGGAATCTATAACTAGAATCCCACCTCTGTAGCCCTGGGCTTTGCTGTCCTCCTTCTTACCCTGTGAGTCCTGCAGAAGAAATCCCCCAAACTGGATTGATAAATTATCTCAAGACAAAGCTAAAATTGATGCTCTTACAGCAGAGCTTGATGAACTTTTTCTGTAAAAGGCTAGAAAGTATTTCAATGTTTGTGGGACATAGAACCTTTTTATGAACTGCTCAACTCTACTATGGTAGTAGTATAGTCACAGACAATACCTGAACAAATGAACATGGCTGTGTCTCAATAAAACTTTATTTACCAAAAAGCAGGCATCAGATTGGCCTTGGCACTTTGACCATAGTGTCCTTCCTTTTTTCTGCTTCCCTCTGGTTTCCTCTTTCTCTTCAGTTTTGACCTGGTTACGTAATTTCTTAACCACCTTTTGAGCTTTTTGGTGTTTTTAAGTCAGTTTCTTTCTTTTCACTGGAGCAACAAGTCTATTATTTACTGGAAGTGGAACTTATGGAAAATTTGTTTGGAAGGACTGATATTTTTGTAGGGTAAATGTTTGTGGTTTTTAACTTTTGAAAATTATAAAGCAGGGCATTCAGAATAAAGAAACTCATGATTATTTAGCTTATTTAATAAGTTCTACTGGCTACTTAAGTCTAATAAAAGCTTATTTGGAATTTTTATGTCAAATACTCCTTAAAGATTAATTTTTACTGTTCTTTTGGGAAGAGAATTCTTTTGGGTCACATTTAAACTGGTTTTCTTAGGATCACTTGCAGGTGTTCATAATCATTGTGGTAATGAAATGAGTTCTTGAAGTGTTGAGGGAAATGTAGTTCTTACAGAAAACGCAGAATTCTAAGATACTAGTTTTATCCTCACATTGTTTACCATCTCGATATAGAACACAGGGCATATTACAGGTTTTAAAAAGGTGATTGACCCTAAGGACTAGAATTGTCAGGCAACCTACAATTCAGTTGTAACCACTTTATTGTGTACCTTAGCTGCACGAGGTGCTGCTCTGCTATGGAGTGACAGTATTACAAAGGTGTCCAGGGAATCCCAGGAAGGACTAATTAAAATGATGCTAACATTCTGCCTGTGCAGTATGATTTAATTTGCATCCTGAAGAATGAAAAGTGTAGGCAGCTGGGGAAAAATAATGTTCTAGGGACAAGTTATCTGAACAAGGTACTTGGGGGAAGAGATTGGATTGGCTTTGCCTTTGTTTATAATAACTGAAAATAAAACCATGCCAGCTTACCTGTTAGGTACTTTCCAAATCTGTATGCCTTTCCTCTTTGTTATATTACTGCTCTTCATTACAGGATCAATTTTTGACTTTAGTTGATAACTATCCCTTTTCTCAGCTAAACAATATACTGTGTACCAATTTGTTTACAAATTAGACTCCTAGCTTCTTTTTTTTTTTTTTTTTTTTTTTTTTTTTTTTTTTTTTTTGGGGGGGGGGGGAACTGGGGATTGAACTCAGGCCCTTGCGCTTGTCAGGCAAGTGCTTATTCTACTGAGCTATCTTCCCGGCCCCCTTTTTTTTTGAGGTGTCTGTCCTTTTGTTAGAACTCAATGTGAATGGATGCAACAATGAATCATAAATTTGATACTGTTCCAAGTATAGGTTGTCCTTATGGTTGGAAATATTACCTTTGTGAATGGGTGTTCTTCTGGATGTTGTGTTCTGTCACTGAAGTTATCTGTTTAGCATAAATACCGCCTGCTTATTAATTGGTAAAAATACATACCTCAAACTTGAGAGCTGTACAAATATCTTTGAAGGTAGCATGGATACATGTGACATTATATTTAAATAATGATCTTTTCAGCTATCAACCCATCGTTGACTACATAAATGCTCAGTTTGAAGCCTATCTCCAAGAAGAATTGAAGATCAAGTGCTCCCTCTTCAACTACCATGATTCCTGCATCCATGTGTGCCTCTACTTCATCACCCCCACAGGCCACTCTCTAAAGACACTTGACCTCTTAACCATGAAAAACCTGGACAGCAAGGTGGGGTAGGAAAGGAATCAACTTACTGGACTTCAATGTGTTTGTGAACTGTTAAATTATCTTTGTGATATGTATAGTAGATAGATAGATAGTTATACTTATATATAGTTGTAGTTATATAGGAACCAAATATACTAATTATAGTAGCTTTTATTCTATACCTCTTTATAACATCTGACAAGGCTATATCTTATTTTCTAGAGTAATTAAGTATAGAAAATGAGATGCAAAGAAGCAACATAAAATTTTAGCTCCTTTTATAGTGATTAAATTGCATTCCAGATCATGGGTATTCTGTACATTTTTTATGCAGGATTTATTTGACACTGATTTCACTTCATGATACTGTTAAGTAAGAAGCACTTCACTGGCCAAGATGAAGGAGTAACACTTCATTCCATGAAATAGTGACATGTATTTTAATTTGGACCAGACCAAGAAACCTACTTTTGATTTTTTTTTTTTTTTTTGAGCCAAAGAACTATGTATAAATTCAGAGAGCTATTTAAAAGTATCTGTTCATTAACTCACTTCAGATTCTTAAATTTGTTTAAAAGATGGGTAAAGACTAGTTATTATCTTGCATTAAAAGAAAAATGTCCTATAATCATGAATGGCATGAGAAATTCAACTTTATAACCCTACCTACTCATTGTATAAGGTAGTATTTAAAACGTAAGGGGTTTGCGATGTTCTGCTTCTCAATAAAAATGGAGATGGAAAGTGTACAGGCTATAGTGAAGCCCAAGCAATAGATTGTATTACTTTTAGCACAGTCCCTGGAATTTAGCAAAATTTGATGAAACTGGTGTTGCAGACATGCTCCTTTAGCAGGGGTGTTCAGGAACCAGCGGAAGAGAAAATGAGCACTTTTCCCACACTCCACCCTGTAGACTCTCACAATACCTGTCTCTAAATTCATAGTACATACCACCAAAGGGTGTAAGAGATAATACAGTATGACCTTTCTAACAGTACTGTATTTAATTCAAACAACAATGAAATGTTTTGTGGTTACAGTGAAAGATCATCTACATCATTCTTATACTTGATTGCCATCTACCCTTTTCTGCTTTATTCAGTTGTTGGGGGAGAACTGAAATTGGGGCTCCTTTATCATAATCCTTCCTTTAGCTTTCTGTTGTACAAACCAAATAAGAATATTACAACTAGTATTTTTGTATGTTTAAGGAAAAAATTGAGATATACCTCAGTTACTTGATTTGGCACTTAATATATGGATATACAGTACTATGTATTTTTGTAGAGGCAGCTGTTACCTACAAGCCACCTGGCAGGTGCAGAGACATCCTGTTTTGCACAGAGCACTGAATAAAGTTATTTCTCCCAGCCTCCTCCAGGCCATTGTCTTCAGTTCCTAATGTCAATTACTTGTCTACTAGACATAGGAAGTTACTTTATCTTATGCAAATGGAGCACATGACTATCTTTGACAACATCTGTTTCTTTTCCTTCCCTCTGATAGACATGTAAACAGTGATGTTTAACAGCCAATCTCCTACAGTTTATTGTGGAAGTAATTACTGGTTAATCACTTGGCTCATTTCATTGAATATCTAAATATAGAATATTGAAATCAAGGACTTGGCATCAAAATCTGTATGTATAGTAAATAATTTAACATGTGACTTATTTATCATGATTGTTGGAAATTTTTCTACCATTAATTTCATACAGAGATGGAAAAATGGTTATCTCATTTGGGGCATATGGAAAGCCAGTACATCCAAATAAATACACTGAATCTGCAAAACTGAAGAAAACAGGAAAATTTAACAACAGAATAGAAATTAGAAGTATTACTTTTACTCTTATTATTCTGAAAATTGCATTGTGATCTCACTCTCTACCTTACATTTTCTCATTGCTGGGACAAAATACCAGAGACCTAAAGTTAGAGGGGAAAGGTTTACCGTAGCTCACAGCCTGCAGCAGTGTGTTACTTGGTTTACTCCAAGGCAGAGTGGCAGGGCAGAGGAGCATCATGGGGGAAAGCAGTTCCTGGTGGGTAGAAGGCAGCAAAGCAGCAAAAAGCAGCAGCAAGTGACAACAGCAGCCTCTTTCTGTCCCTTACAGTCTGTCTAGGCCATGTGCCCTTAGGGCAGGTAGCGCCCACATCTAGGAAGGGTCTTCCACCCACATTCAGAACTACGTCAGAGCAATCAGTGGATTAATCTAGTAATCATGCACTTAATCCAAACATTACACACTCTATACCCAGCCACCTCTGAAAAGTTCCACTGTGACCACATGAGGCTTTGGGAGGACCTCTAAACACAAGCCATACCATTCTCCCTGACACTTGTGACTGGTTAACCTAAGGTTTTTGATTGAAAAATAAAAAAAATCCCAAGTTGTGAAGGCATCAATCTTTTGTGGGACATTAATCTCTTACAAAACTAGATTTATTAAGTAAGTCAGTCTTCTCAATCCCACCTCCCTTCCTTCCTGGCAGTGATGGGAGTTAGTACTTCTGAAGAAGTTATTCCTTTGTGTCAGAAACACTTTGAGTTGGTATTGGCAGAGTTCCCTTCCTGTACCACCCAGGTAGGTGTCCCTGGCGACGGCATGCTGACGGGTGGAGTCAGGGCTGAGACAAGCAGAAAGAATGGTCATCTGTTGCCCAGTTTTACCAAGAAATCAGTTACCTTAACCACTTGGTGCTTGGGTTACTCAGACATAAATATTCCTAGTACGTTAGTTGATAATTTCATCTATCTATTTTATTACATTTTACTGATTATATGTGTCACTGAATTATAAGAGACCAAGGGTGAGAGTAGAAAAAGAGGGACTTTTTAACATATATGCTGCCAAAGCAAGCATGAAAAATGATATTTAAGCCTAAAATTACATGCCCTCTTCGTGCAGCCGGCAGCACGTCAGTCTCATAAGCCTGGAATTGACTGAGAGGTGACTCTAAAAAGAACTTTCTTTTTAAAAGCACACATTTGGACAAATCATTGTAGTGAGTGTGTGTGTGTGTGTGTGTGTGTGTGTGTGTGTGTGTGTGAGAGAGAGAGAGAGAGAGAGAGAGAGAGAGAGAGCAGTAGCCAGGGCTTACCAGGGTCGGGGGATATGTACCACGTCTGCACAAGACTAGACGGTAAAGTCCAGGCCTTACATAGGTCTCCGGCAGCGACTCATCCCTGCTGTGTAAATGGAAAGCAGCCATGGAAGCTGCCTAAATGAATGGACTCAGTGGCGTTCCAGGAAGCTTTTCTTTACAGTACAGCAAGCTGTACTGTAGTTCTCAAGGTCCTGATCTTGGGTAAGGAAATTTATTATCAGTGACTGAATGGTTTTGCCTGGTGTGAATAATAACTATGGGATTGAAAACAGATCCTCAATTAAGAGATTTTGTGTTTTCTTTTCTCTTGTTAATAGGTGAATATTATACCAGTGATTGCCAAAGCAGATACAATTTCTAAAAGTGAATTACAGACGTTTAAAGTTAAGCTCATGAGTGAGTTGGTCAGTAATGGTGTCCAGATATACCAGTTCCCAGCAGACGATGAGACCATTGCCAAGATCAGTGCCACAATGAACGTAAGCTCCTCCTGGAATGCTGTTTGCTTCTGACCAGAAAATAAAGCTGTTTATGACCACCATTTCTGCTCCCATATCTACCTGATGTGGGATTTTGCTTCCTGAGATTTCATTTATATGGGTAACCATGTTCAACTATAAACTGAAAATATTAACTGGAAAATTCCAGAAATGATAGCCCATAACTTTTCCATCATGTACCATTCTGAATGGTATGATGATATTTCCTCACCTGGGTATTTTATCAAATCACATCATCACAAGAAGGGTGAGTGCAGTAAGATTTGAGAGAGAAACCACATTCATGTAACTTTTATTCCAGTGTGCTGTTATATCTGTTCCACTTATTAGTTGTTAATCTTTGTCATGTCTAATGAGTGAATTAGATTCATATATATGCATATAAAGTATAGTATGGTCATGGTAGGGTGGTCGACCAACCAGGCTGGGACATCCACTGGGGATCGTGTGCGAGGGTAACAACTGTAATGTATTTCTACATGGGTCTTCCAGAAAGACTCCCAGCAAGGTACGATTTCAAACATCCCAGACAGGGAATGAAACATTTTATTTTAAATTGGAAGGGTATTTTTGAAGCATGTCTTCACCTAAATAAAGTTACGTTGGTGAGACTAAGACATATCTTTTATGGAACTGTATTTAATTGCTTGGGAAGATGCCTCTCCTATTCGAACAAATGGGAAGATTGTGCAGCTTACTATGGAGTGCTGCAGGGCCTCATGTATTGATGAGTATCTTGAAGCTGGTATTTAGTCTTACCTTCTGCCAAGTCAGTGACCTGGGAAACATCCACCTGACTTTTAACTTAATGTAACTAAGACAACCAAGGTCTTTATTTTACTTTGCTCATGAAAAATGTGGTAACATTTCGTAAGCGTCTCGTATTTTGAAGGGTTGTGGTTTTGGGACTTGGAGATTGTGGGAGTTATTAATTTCCCTTAGACTAATAGCTTACAAGATTAGGTCGATAGTGCTCATCACAAGTATTGTTATGAGGATTGAATAGCATACCCTTGGTGATGTGTCTGACTGGAAAATTACAGAAATAAATAGTCCATAAACATCTAGTTACCATATATTCATTCCCTTTCCTTCCTTTTTAATTTTTCATACCCTATTAAAAAATTTAAAGTAAATCTGTAACAATCTAACATGTAAATAAAGAGGTCTTGATTCCTACATATTAAATTGTCTTTATATATAATTTTATTTCTTGTACTGTTCTGTAATTATTTTCAGAAAGATACAACTAAGAAACTAATATCAGTTACTAGTAAATATAGTACTTACACTTTTTATTTTTTGTGTATTTGGTGCAAGCTGTCATTACTCAGCTTGGACTCGTAGTGAACCTCCTGTTTTCAGCCTCCCCAGCACTGGGATTACAGGCGTGTGGCACCATGCCTGGACTCGGTGGCCAGCTCAGCACACCCAAGGGTGGGGCTGGCACAGCATGTGGTGCCAGGGATCCAATCCCAGTCCCTGTGCTTGCCTAAGCAGGTGCTTAGTCCCCTAAGCTATCTCACTGTCCCATCACTTAGGGTTTTTAATTAGACTTTTCTTCTATATGATACTCAACTTCAGACACTCACTTGAGTCCAGCCCCTGACTCGAGCTGATTCATCTTACGTAGGACCTCATTCTCTACGCTGCCTCTTCCCACTCTGCTTGCTCCAGTAAATCCCATCCTTCCTTGTCTAGTTTGCTTTATACCTTCCTGTCCTAATGATCTCCTCCTTTCAGTTTCTATTGCCTTTGCTGACATCAGTTTGGGACTTTTATGACTGATCCAAAAATATGATAAATGCTTAGTTATGTCTTAAAAAAATTACTATACTGAAAGATACATTGCTGTTGATTCCCCTCCCAAAAGAATATCCCCCTCACTTCAAACACACTTACATTCTTTTTTTTTTTTTGTTTCAGACTACAAATTCTTGTTTCAAATGAAGTTACCACATATATAAATATAACTTAAGTGGAAAGGGGGACTTTAATTCTACTGGAAATATTTTATTTCTTAAGCTGTAGATTTATGTTCATTTTATTCTATGTTTTATATTCCTGAAATTAAAAAATATGTATATTTTAAAATCTAACTTAATTTTGATGTTATATGAAAATAATCAATTACTTATTGGTAAATCAGGGAGATTCACCTTTTAGATGCTATTAAAATTGGTAAAACAAATTTTCTAGTTTTATAAAACACAATAAGAACTACCATAACATTTATACACTGCATCATTCTTCTTATTGAATTTCATTATAATAAATTAAAAATGTTTATATCATGCCTATAAGTTTACATGATGATGATAATTATAGGTACCAATATCCATTAAATGCTCACGTTGTATAAATATAATTCATGGATTCTTGAAAAATTTATATGAAGCTATTATTTTTATATTAATACTAATACATATTTACCAATCTACTTTTGATAATCAGAGGAACTGTAAATCTTACCATAGCCTTACATTACTTTTAAAAAGAACTTTACTTAGTTCCTAGCCTTTTTCTTTTTTCACACTTATGTTCTATCATTTTTACCATGTTCTGAAGCAGTCTAGAAATCCTTTTTTTTTTTTTTGGCGGAACCGGGGATTGAACTCAGGGCCTTAGGCCTTCCAGGCAAGCACTTATTCTACTGAGCCATCTCTCCGGCTCCTAGAAATCCTCTATTGCGAATCTCTTTGGCTATCACAATATCCTGAATCAATTCAAAACATTTACCTTTCACAATAATTAACTTTGGAAAAGAGTCAGATGTTGCATGGTCCAGATCTGGTGAAGAAGGCGACTGAGGATATACTGTGGTGTTTTTAAGAATATGTCTTTCTGTTGGATGGCACAAGGTAATATTGGTCACACCTTATAAAGACTCACTGTCGAGGACTTCAGAACTGTTTACAAAAGTGGCAAGAACATTCAAAATGAGGCATATTTGAGGGGATTAATAACAACATATCTTTTACTGTAATATTTTAATTTTAACATTCATTGTATGTATTGATCACTTCTTATATACTTTTGTATTAGAACCATATGTCTATAGACAGTAAATACAGATACATTGTTTTGTTGTAATGTGTATAATTTCTTAAACATAGACTTTATCTTTTAAGATACATAGCATAGGTGAGGAAATAACACCTATGCTAAAATTCTCTGATTTTGTATTCCCAGTAGCGCTAGTGCCTTGTATGTCAAAGATGATCAGTAGATAATTTTCTTTTTAGTAGGTAATTATTTTTTTTCTAGTATATATCCAAAACCAAGTTTTAAAATCTGAGACTTTGCAAGTTATTTGATTGTAATAGATTTGCCATTTAGAAAAATCATTTTTAGTTGGTCAGCTGTCACATTGGCATGTCATGATGAGTTCAATTGATATCATGGTTCATTTTTAGGAACATTTGCCGTTTGCTGTTGTGGGAAGTATGGATGAGGTAAAAGTTGGAAATAAGATGGTCAAAGCTCGCCAGTACCCTTGGGGTATTGTACAAGGTAAACGAGGTGGCTGATGGCTTGAAAATTTGTATATTGCCTGATGTCTTAGTTGTGTTTTCATTGCTAGGACAAAATGCTCAACACCACAAAATAAAAGAGGAAAGGTTTGGTTTAGTTCACAGTCTGTAGGTGTTCCAGCCTGTAGCTGGCTGGTTCCAAGGTGGGGTGGCATGGCAGCGGAGAGACAGTCCACAGCAAGGCAGACAGGAAGCAACCTCCCTTCTTTCCCTTTTCATTCCATTTAGGCAGTAAGCCTGTTGGCTGGTGCCACCCAAACCCAGCGTAGGTCTTCCCTTTTCCATAAATCCATCATCCACACCCAGAATTACGCTGAACCATCTGTGGACCAATCCAGTGTCACACGCTCATGATCCAGTCCGTCTCGAAAGCGCCGCCTATGCACGTCTAGATACTAGCCATAACACCTAAGCATCTTAAAATTACCTTTGGTCCACTCTTTGCGGTGGAGCTTCTCTAGGGTTGTCAGAGGACTTGGCTGTCTAGGGTTCAGGCGAGCTCTGTAGAGGGAGGCAGAGCACCCAGTCTGTATTGTATGCTCCTTGTGCCACACCGCTGTTCTTCCCTGACTGGGTAGGCACTTCGATCAAAATTTGGGATTTTTTTTTTCTTTTTCTTTTGTTTGAGACCAAATCAAAGGCCTCATGTGTAGTAGGTAAGTTTACGCTGTACCATTAAGCTATATCCCAGTCCTTGTTCAGAATTTGAATTTTTAGTATTAGATATGCTATATGAACTACCATTTAACTATGGGATACATTAACCATCTTACAAGCTTACATATTTTTATGGTTAAAGCATTGTCATACTATTTCTCAAACAAATCCATCAGCCAACTTGATGTTAAATCTGCTTGACATTTGGATTATTTATCTAGCATTTTTGATGAATAATTAGTATTATCTGGTTCATTTGATTGCACCTGCTGGCATCCAGTGTTACTTTTTTAAATTGAGCTTTTTAAAAAATTAATGCACAGTTCTGAGAAAATATAAAACTTAATATATTACAAATATAAAATGGGAGGCTAGGGCAGGAAGATTGCAAGTTTGTGGTCAACGTGAGCAATAGGACAAGATCTTCTCTCAAAAACATTAAAAAAAATAGTTGCACCTAAAACTCTCAGTCACAGTAACTTGTATTTATTTGTAGTCCTATGGTCATTATAAAGTTAGACTGTATTAAGTGGTGCATGCCTGTAATCCTAGCACTGGGGGTGCTGAGACAGGAGGTTCACTATGAGTCTGAACTGTGTAGCAAGACCCTGTATCATATAAAAGATTTAAAAGATAAAGTAAAGTAAAATAAACTATTAGCAAAATGTTAGTAAAATAACTCAAGTATATTGTAACATAATAAATTTTGGGGGGATATTTCCTGATTATACATTGGCTCTTAAATTTAAAGCAAATCTCTGGTCTGTTAGTTAACATTGCCTATGATACAGTGTGTATAATGGCAGTTTCTTCCTTGGTTATTTGTGTGAAACAATTACAGCTATGAATGAGTTGAATCATTTTGCCATTAATTCACATGTGTTTTATCTGTTCATCCAACAAATGCCAGTTGCACACTGTCGTCATAATCCAGCATTGCTCTTTCTGGTTTCTGCCTGGC